ATAATCTAATATTGCGTAGCATTAAATTTGTTTTTATTTTAGTTTATGTTAAGCTTACTCGATATAAATCTAGAATCTTTGGGATTAAATCTTCACTCTTTTGAATCATAAATTTGAATGCTAAAATTCTTGAATAAAGAACAAAAATCTTTGCGTCACGATTCTGTGCCCAAAATTGTTTTTTTTATCAGTGTAAATTTATACATATATAGGTAGGTATAGGTATAGGTATATATTATTATAATTTATATTATAATAGATATTTAAAACCTAAGATATAGCTTTTTAAATGATTTTTTAATGCTTTTATCAAAAGAAAATCAATTTATGTATAAATATAAACCTTGTGTATATTTACTAGCTTCCTTTGTTGTTTACTTTATCTATTACTTTTTTAATTAATATTAGTTATTTAATACATTTGATTTGATAACGTGTCAAAGTTGTAGCAGAACTACTTAATATTTATATTCCCCCCTAAAAATTAATCTAACCGAAAGGCCCTTGAAGATGGCTGTTAAAGTTAACATTATTTCTTCAAGTTAGTATTAGTATTAAATAGTTTTTGTGGAGTTGTGGAGCATTAATTAAGTGAATCATCTTTAGAAGAGACAGGAATGACGCGACTTTTTCACTCTCCACCCATCGCAAAGCCCACTCCGTTGCCGCGTCGCGTCTCTTAAAGACCAACTCCAAGGACTTGACTCCAAAATGTAAAAGGCGCAGCGCGAAATCCAGTCGACCAATCAAAATATCGCTGCCCGCCTTCTTCTTCGGCGCTTCGCTGGAGGAAGTCTCGAATGATTTTCCTTTTGGCTTAGGTAATACCTCCGCCGCGTCATTTCTTTGAATGTGTGTATGTGTACATAAGGGCGAGACACGCATCCACTGACGCTCCTGTGTGCGTGGCTGCTTAAATGTATGCACAAATCCAGTATGTACGAGAAACAATTATGAGGGAAATCTCGCGACTTTGAGGTTTGTGCGCAGGCAGGCAAACTTTCTTGCCAGAAATAATTTTTTCAAATGTGGGAAAAAAAACTAAAAACATATGTACATATAACAATAGCTTTCACAGCACAACTGTACTCTTCGAGCTCGAACGAAGATTAGGAAAATTTAGGAAACGACAAAGTTTCTTTAATAACTGTAAAAGTAAGCTTGGGTCTATATTTGTTGGGATGTTGAATTTTAAGTACAAAGTTTTAGCTGGTTTTTTAATTGGAAACATACATACATTACACAAAACATAGAAGCATTTCATTTTAAAATGTAAGTTTTTCCCTTTGCATTTAGTTGTTATTTATTGAGCGTTAGATGAAATATCTGGAAGTACTCGTTCATATCTGGAAGTACAGAATCACAAACTATGAATACCTTAGAAAAATTAATATATATGTGCAAATTTTGTTTTTAATATTACTGTACTTCTAATAGCGATAGATTTATTTTCAGTATACACAACTTTTGTCATATACATATGCACATATGTATATGTACATAAATGTGTTATTATATCCCAATAATAGAATAACTAAGAACGCAAGAGCTGCGTTTAATAGCAAGTTGATATACGTAATATGTTAGGTGGCAGATTGTTGAAATAATTTAAGGCTCTAGAAATGGGCTCATTTAAGGCATTGAAAAATGTATAAAACTTAGCAATGCAGGATAATCGATTTTGCTTGAAATTATGTCGAAAAGATGACAAGTACACAAGACGACATTTAGCGGAATAGGAGGGAACGGGTTCATGGAACTTAAAAGAATTAAGGGCAAAACACAGAAACTTTTTCTGAATACGTTCGAGGCGATAAAAGAGTATGGATCCATTGGGTCCCAGCTTAGACCTCACAAAAGAATATTTTACAATGAAAACGTCATATGTGCATGGGTAGGTAGGTTGGCGAATACTTTGAGCTTTCTGATCGCTTGATCGATATAGTGACGAGGCCTTTGAATGTAATTCAGAGTCCGATAAACTTAGCGAACAAGAATTTAGTAAATCTTTTTTTACGAAAATGAAAAAGTTATTTATTATAAAAAATATCAGCAGTTCGGTTGAAAATTCAGCAGATGCGACAGCAGAGAGAACCATAACGAAAGCTGAAAATTAAAAAAGCAGGAAGACGCAAAACTTGCAATAATCAAAATAAATATAATTTTAAAAAATAAATACTATAATAAAGAACCAGCTAAGCGGGGCTATCAACCCATCTTACTTGAATTTACACCAAAACCATGAGTCTATAACCTAACACAGTAATTTCACAAAAATTTGTATATACAAAAATTGTCCCTAAATTTAAAACAACAAATTTATTTAGTGTTAAAAGGTAAAGCAAAATACTAAACTGGTTTTAAATTAAAAACAAGAAAGGAAGCTAACTTCGGCACGGCGAAGTTTGTATACCCTTGCAGATTGGTTTTGATATTTATACCCTTGCAGGGTATTATAATTTCAGTCAGAAGTTTGCAACGCAGTGGAGGAGACCTTTCCGACCCTATAAAGTATATATATTCTTGATCTCGATCTAGCCATGTCCGTCTGTCCGTCCGTCCGTCTGTCCGTTGTCCGTCCGTCCGTCCGTCTGTCCGTTTCTACGCAAACTAGTCGCTCAGTCTTAAAGCTATCTGAATGAAACTTTGCATATGGACATTTCCACAGAAATGTTAACCGCGGCCAAAAGACTAAAACTTCTCTAAAATGTTTTTTTTTCAAACATAGTAACATTAGAAAAAGGTGAATTGATTAAATTTGAAGGGCTTTATCATATTCTAAAACAAATTTCGAAATATTCGAATGCATATTCGCGCAAACACGATTTTTCATTATTTTGATGAAAAACATCATAAAACATTTTTATAATTACATCCAAACCAAGGCATTATGATTTGACTGTTGTTTACTAACATCACAAGAAGAATGCAAAAAGTCGAAATAAAATGGATATATGCTCTTCTAATTTACTTAAATAGTAAAAAATTACATGGAAAGTATGATGATAAAAACTGTCGCGTGCGACACCTTATTAAATTTAAATAAAAAAATAAACTAAGCTAAATTTCTGATTGTAAATAAAAGCATATGAAAATGACATTATCGCATAACATTGAAAAATTTGTTTCATTAAAATATTCCCAGCCGTTTCGCTAAAATCAGTGTTTAAACAGCTCGCCGCGTTAAGTGACTTTTGTTTTTGTCGCGTGCGAACCCTTCAATTTTTTTTAAATTTCTTAAATTTGAGCATACACTCAAAATCAACACTAACACCAATTATAGCCCTAGGCAAGAGCTATAAGTTACTATTTTTAAAAGAAATAAAAATAAAATGTACCATACTTTTTGCTTTGAATGCGTACGAATGTCGCGTGCGACATCATGGAAATGCACATATACAGGCCTGCTCCGGTAATCGAAAGCGGCAAGAATTTTTCGTTTTCGTTTTTGAAAACGAGAAATTGGTGCTCCGGTAATCGAAATCGAAAGATTTTTTCGATTTGAAAAACGGGCACCTTTTTCTGGCCGGAATGAAAAGTAAATGGCTTTTTTTAAATGAAATCAGATCTTATTTACAAAAGGAAAAAAATAGTTTACTCAGTGGTCTATTGATGTTTATTCCACACCACCACAAGATCATTCTGGCACTTAGTTATTTTATAAAAAATTTATTTCTGACCCCTCCTCAGATTTGACAACAAAATTTTTGCCGTGTTCAACCAGTTTTCTCGGTTTGGCGATAGGTCGATAAGTTCACCGCAAAAAGTTATCGCCAAGGTTGCCATATTGTTGGTGGAACGAAACATCCAGTTAAAAATACTTATAAAATATAAATGAATACATTAATAACTTTAAAGGACCGCCAAAATGGTTGTTTATAAATAATGCTATTTAATGTGATTACTTAAATGGTCCAAATTAACCAAATAATTATTTAAGACCACCGGAATTAGAACTGTGAAAAGTGTGGCAGCATCTTAGGTGCCTGGATTTGCTTAATTCTACCATTTTTTTGCCTTTTTCTGGCTTAGAAAAGGGGCAATTGTAAATATAATAGGCAGTACTTTACGTTGTTTGCTTATTACCAACAACACAAGTTAGCTGCTTGAGCAGTGAGAAACAATGAGAAAACGAAACATCCGATAGCAGAAATTTGCCGAAAACCGGAGCAGCTAAAAACGAAAACGGTTCGTTTTCGCCCAAAACGAAATCGAAAAAATTTTACGATTACCGGAGCAGGCCTGATTATTCCAGAATTTTGTTAAAATTTTATGAAAATCGGACGACTATATCTTATAGCTGCCACAAGAACGATCGGAAAATGAATAGGAAAAAAAATTATAGCTTCGTTGTTTTTCAATGTATTTTCATCTAATTTGAGACATGAGCTTTTAGTATTATTTCAGAATTTTGTTAGAAATTTTATGAAAATCGGACAACTATATCATATAGCTGCCATAGAAGCGATCGGTAGATGTAGAGAAAATGTAAAGCTTGGAATGTAAAACTGTAACAGTCAAACTGTAAACATAATAAGTATAGGTAAAATGTAATGAAACTCTGTTTTGTGTGTGTTTTCTGCATTATAATTTATAATATAAATATCAAAACCAATTTGCAAGGGTATAAAAACTTTGGTGTGCCGAAGTTAGCTTCCTTTCTTGTTTCTCTTTATTTTCCGATCTTTCTTATCGCAGCTATATAATGAAGTAGCCCGATTTTATACCGAAAATCTTAAATAATACAAAGTGGCCACTTCTGGGAAAATATTAAAAAAAACGACAAACTTACCTATAATCTTTTCTTTTTTTTTTTCCTAATTATAGTTACCAATCAGTGGTACGTGCCAGTGTTGAAAGGAGATGTACCCAACGGGTGTGCAGCCTATGGCTTTGTTGTAGAAGGAACTCGCATGTTTGTCTTTGGCGGAATGATTGAATATGGAAAATATTCAAACGATTTGTACGAGCTGCAGGCCACGAAGTGGGAATGGCGAAAAATGTATCCTGAGTCTCCCGATGGTGGTGGCATGTCGCCATGTCCACGTTTGGGTCACAGTTATACCATGGTTGGCGACAAGATCTTTCTATTTGGTGGATTGGCAAATGAATCGGATGATCCAAAAAATAATATACCCAAGTAAGTCTGAAATTTAGGAATTTACAATTCAATGGTATATATATTTTTTTTTTTTGTGTTTTTAATAGATACCTGAACGATCTGTATATACTAGACACCCGTGGCGTTCACAGTCACAATGGAAAGTGGATAGTTCCAAAAACCTTTGGCGATAGTCCCCCACCCAGGGAGTCACACACTGGTATAGCCTTTACAAGCAAAGCGAACGGTAACTTGAATCTATTGATTTATGGCGGTATGAGCGGCTGCCGTTTGGGAGATTTGTGGTTATTGGAAACAGGTGAGTCTTTTAAAAACAGTCCTAGCGTTCCAAAAAAAATTAATATTCCTTACTTTCTAGAGTCCATGACTTGGGCAAAGCCGCGAACTCTGGGACAAGCACCATTACCACGTTCTCTGCATAGCTCAACAATGATTGCAAACAAAATGTATGTGTTTGGAGGCTGGGTTCCATTGGTGATAAATGAATCCAAGTCAACGACAGAGCGAGAATGGAAGTGTACAAACACTTTGGCTGTTCTAGATTTGGGTAAGAAATGCTATTTATTTATTTTACTATTATTATTATATTTTTTTAAGGATCAAGTGGTTAATCGAATTGATCGACCTCTCTTTCCTCCTCTTTTACACAAACTAGTTTCTCAGTTTCTCAGTATTATATCCTAACGGTCAATTTTTTAGCTGCACTAGAATGTGAATCAAAAGTCCGAAATGATCTATCGACAAAAATATCGGGCAATATGTCATATAAAGACTTTTTTAAACTTTAATAAATTTAATTTTTAAATATTTAAGGGGGTCTTCTCATTGGGCAACTTTTTTTTTCGATTTTTTTTTTTTTTGCATTTATTTATAGCTTGGGATGGTGTGTATATGTCCCCAAAAGGATTTTTAGAAATTCGAAATACTTTAGAAGATACAGCCTTTTTTGTGAAGCAAGTTCTTCGCAAAATGAGCTTTTTTCAAACTTCAAACGCGTTTATCTCGAAACCACGTTTTTCGAACTGGCGGCCATGATATCTCCAGTTCAACTGAACCGATTTTCATGAAACAAAGTGGAGTCGACGCAGAATTGTCACCATTCTCGGGTGACGGAACAGATTTTTTTTAAATTTTTTTTTTTACACTAAACTACAAAAAAAAAGCCCAAAATCGAAATTTTTTTTTGAATGGCCCCATTTTGTTTAAAAAAATTTAAAAAAAAATCTGTTCCGTCACCCGAAAATGACATCAATTCTGATTAAAACTCCGTTTTTATTTTTCATTTCGGACGCTCTGGAGACCCTGAATCGTGGCCGCCAGGACGACACTTTTTTTCGACCACCAAGTTTGAAGTCTCATTACTCTTTGAACAACCCTCGTATCGAGGCAAGAACAACTTTTTTAGTTACTTTGAACATTTTTGATTACAATAAACAAAAAAAAGTTTTCAATTATTCTTTGCGTTTTCAAATAAGAATTTTTTTAAAAAGGGTCCAAAAAACGGCTTTTGAATGAGAAGACCCCCTTAAGCTACTTCGGTTTTCGTAATATTTTTTTCGATTACGTTTGGTCAAAATCGTACGATTTTGTTTTAGCTGCATCGGTTTTCGACAAATTTATGCTTTGTTTTCTCATTGTTTTAATTTTACAAAAGATCGATTTTGGCAATTGTTCGTATTCAAGATAATTACAAAAATGTAAGGCATTCGCTCCCGACCCTACAGAAATAACTTTTAGTTCAGCCGCTGATTTCGGCAAAACGTAATGAAAGATTTTAATGCGATAATTTTTAATGTATTATGCATATTTTTATCTTAGTAATGTATTTGTTTTAGCCTAAAAATATTCAGCGTTCTTTTTTTAAATTTTCTTTTAATCCCTTTCGCTATATTTTATTTACCGTACTTTTTATGTTGTTTAATTTTTAGGTAAATTAAAAAATATATATACAGGCCTATTCTAGTTTCCACTCGGAAATAAATTCTATAACATTTGCGAATTTCCCTTGGTGATTTAAAGAAATTTTGTTAAATTTCACTTAAATTTCCAAATAATTTCAGGTGGCCGCTCTCAACAAAAAGTTTGCTTTGTCTAAGATTTGGTAATAAGGGGCTGATCAAATTATGGCCCGCTGTAGTCTTTAACTCATAGATTAAATTAATAAATTAAAAAACTAATTAAATTAATAAAATCGAAGGAATAAGAATTTACGGCTGAAAATAAACCATTATTTGTAAATATTTGTAATTGCAATCAGCTTTTCTGGTGGCAAAATGATTGAAAGTATAGTTGCCGAGGTTGTAGGAAAAATTCCTTTCACATAACATTTAGTTCAGTTTGTAGATTGAATGTGCTGGTGTTTTAAACAAAAACACTTTTAATATACTAATAGCCTATCTTCTAATTGTAAAACAACATAAAAAGTATTTATTTGAAAATAATCTTAAATATATGCTTTTTTTTTGAACGCTCACAACCCTTAAATGGTCCGATTCGGGGGCGACCGATTTGCAATAATGTTGAAAGTTAGAATCGAACCGATTTTAAGATGCAACCACAAAATAATTATTTATAAATCAATTACTTTGGTATTAGCTAATTCAATTATGCAATAATGTTCCCAAAACCTGTAGGAATAAGTTACAATTAACATTTGTAATTTACATAATCGCATTGTATTTTAAAATAATGTTGTAATAATGGGTATGTTTATAGAGATGGGTAAAGGGGGATGGGGAGGAAAGCTCGGAACTCCGGGAGCAGGGCAAAACGATCGAGGACGAGGAATGGAACTAGAAGGATCCGGAATGGAAAGCCAGAAGACGCACCCGCCGGAGACGCACTAGGACTTGGCCGAATAGGAACTGGAATTCTGCTTTTAAACTGCCCGCTCCTTTTTGAATTGTTCTGCAGTTTGGTTGAAAAAATGTTGAAAAACAGGCAAATATAGCAGTGAATTGTTGGTGTTTTTAGGAAAGGAAAGAAATATTTATATTACAAATATATATATATATATATATATATATATATATATATATATATATGTTTTTATATTAATACATACCACCTTGCTGTACGCCACTTGGTTAATTTTGCCGTCCTCTGTGGTGGCCAGGATCAGCAGCATATGTGCAAGGACCGGCTGCGGTATACGAACACGTATACTTACATATTATATACAATCTTTATATATCGGATATATACTCACCGATTTCATGTGGATGACGTCCAGAATTAGATAGAAGCATGTTCTTGTGGACGCCTCCTTAATTGACCCCGCTCGGGCGGGCGGGATCATCATGTCCAGAATCCAAGAATCCAGGAATCCTAGCTTTGCGAAATGGTCAAATTTAAGTCCAAAAGGCTCATTTCGCTTATCTTAGTAATCGTATTTTTTTACGTGTACGTTAACGTGTAGTAGCTAGATTTGGCTATATACATAAAAGCTTCCACAAAAGCTTTTAAAAGCTTTCGACAGCTATATAGCTAAGACGTTTTAGCTATATAGCTAAGACGGTTTAGCTATATAGCTAAGACGGTTGCGCTTTCGAAAAAACGCCCGATAAAAGAGGGCGCTACCGTAAGAGTTTTTCGAAAAAACGCCCGACAAAAGAGGGCGCTACCAACTGTTCTTTGAAGCTGGTCAACAGATGGCGTTGGAAGAATTTCCCACTTTACATTACATGTACATAAGAGCACACAAGCCCATGTAAATAAGAGCACACAAGCCCATCATATTTCTCCTCTGATTAGAAATTTCCCACTTTTTGTGAAATTGCAGGAAAACTTTTCTCCGACGAACCAATCGCCGAATTTAGAACGAAAAAAAATGTATTAATGCAAGAGAGAAAGAACCATTTTTCTAAAGGATTTTTTTTTCTAAAGACCTCTCTCTACCCCACTTTTTTAGAACAATAGTTCCCCTTCTTCATAAAAATACTTAACATTTAGGGGGGGCGGGGGGCTTTGGTATTGAATTTTTTTGTTGATGTATTTTTTTTATCGGTGTGCACGATAACCCAAAATCTACTGCACCAATAGTTTTGATATGTGGGACATAATTTAATTTTTTTTTATTTTAATTTTATTACATTTGTAATTTTAGGAGAAATTCACGTTTCCGACATCCAATTTAGATATAAAATCAGGAAATCTTTTCGCATATTTCTGTGGGCAGTTACACTGCAAGCTAACTTTTGAGGCCGCTCGGAAGATTCCCTATTACTCCTATACCTCTAAATATTTATACCCTTGCAGGGTATTATAATTTCAGTCAGAAGTTTGCAACGCAGTGAAGGAGACGTTTCCGACCCTATAAAGTATATATATTCTTGATCAGCATCAACAGCCGAGTCGATCTAGCCATGTCCGTCTGTCCGTCTGTCCGTCTGTCCGTCCGTCTGTCCGTCCGTCTGTCCGTTTCTACGCAAACTAGTCCCTCAGTTTTAAAGCTATGTGAATGAAACTTTGCACATAGTCTTCTATATACTCTCACTGCTATATATGTCGGAACGGGCCGGATCAGACGACTATATCATATAGCTGCCATACAAATGTTGGATAAATTTTTAGAAAAAAAATTATAAATTAGCTGTTTTTCAACATTTTTGCATATGGCCATTTTTTGAGATATGGCCATTTTATATTATTTCAGAATTTCGGTTTTAATTTTTTGAAAATCGGACGACAATATCATATAGCTGCCATAGGAACGATCGGGAAATTAATAGGAAAAAAACTATAACTTCGTTATTTTTCAACGTTTTTTCATCTACTCCAGGATATAAGCTTATTTTATTATTCTAGAATTTTGGTATAAATTTCATAAAAATCGGACAACTATATCATATAGCTGCCATATAAACCGATCGGTAGATGTAGAAAAAATGTAAAGCTGGGAATGCAAAACTGTAACTGTCAAACTGTAAACATAATAATATAGGTAAAATGTAATGAAATAATATCTGCAAGGGTATACAAACTTCGGCGTGCCGAAGTTAGCTTCCTTTCTTGTTTTTAATAATTTACCACAAAATAAATGTTGTGTTATTTTAGGTTATTTCCCTTATCAAGCTAACTTTAGCCGTTTCGAAACAACAAATTTTGAAAAGTAGCTCGTTTTGCTCCCAATTTACCAATACGTAAATTTTACGTCAAATTTATCTTAACAGGGCGCCAAAACATTATTAAATAATAAATTACAATTCAATTCTGATTGGTTGTTTTCAGATGATCTAGTGATTATGTAGACGCACAACTTCTTCTCAAGGCCTGCGGAAATCTTCAATATCTTTTGTTGAAAAAGTTATTAAAAAGATCTTGTTTACGTTAAAACAAACCATACCCTCCCCTTAAAGAATTTTTAAAGAATTTACCCACTGTCTTTAAGAAATCCGACAAATACGGTGGATAACTGAATGCATCACAGTTTAAAAATAACGAAAGGAAGGACGAAATGACAAAGAAAAGTACATCGTTTAAGCCAAAACTACCGGAGACGGTTGAACCAATATGCTTCAAAATTTTAGTCCGGCTGGAACATAATAAAAAGTAACTGAATTAAAAGGTTTTTAGGCCCCAAATTATTTTGTAAGGAATTCCGTTTTCTTATGTCCTCTCTTAGTTTTGAGAATGTACTTTTATTTCCAATGATTCACTTCAGATATATAGTATAATAGTATAATAGTTCCGTCCCGAAACAAAGCCAACATTTCGGTCTAGCAATGTAACATATACATAAGTGAGACAGGTAGACAGGTAGCCTGGAAGTGAGAGTAATATGACAATAGTAAGTGGATTAATGAATAAGCACGTGCTGTCCAAATAAGCCGGTAAACATGAACGATTTAGACCCAACGGTATTACCGATAATTGTATCATGCTTTAAACAAGGAATTTTCCAATTTTTCCAGAAAAAAAATTCGAAAAATATCTTTTTTCATACCTGACCAGATGTTATCCCTTAATTATTAGTATTTTCGGACGAGGGATCTTTACGATTATACCAACGAAATAATAAAAATCAATTGAAATATGAAGAGCCCTATGCTGTCTTTAAATTGAAAATGTGTGTCCAAATATTGCGCCCTTTATGCATGACTTTTGAGTGGATTTACTGGTCAGTATTTCAATTTAATGAAAAACGCACTGTTTGCTGACGCTAGCTCTTATACAGGGTCGAACCGAAAGTCACAGTTCGTAGCTATGCTGAAATTTCTTCTGAAATATAAAATCTAGCAAAATATATTGATTTAAAAAACAGGAAGGCTGTCAAGTTTAGTTTGAAAAAAGTGTTCGAATAAAATGGAAAGAAAAGCAACCACCACTTTGCTCAGAGGAAATTTGTAGTAACTTCTTGGACCTGATGCCATACCATTAATGCTCTACCTCCTCCACTACTATTACTTCTTTCTATTCCACCCCCAACTCGGGCATCTATTAAAAAACAGAAACCAAAAACCTAAGCTCCTCATCCAGAACTCAGCTCTGCCTCTCTCCCAAAAGAAAATTGGTTGCCATCTCGCCGAACAGTCTTTCGCCTTCTCTTCCACTTGCCATCGCCGTGCCGTTCATCATCAATATTTGAATTTAAAATTTCTTGTTTCGCGCACAACACGAACGCCATATTTATTTCTTTTTCTTTTGATTTTTCTCGCCTGTTCTGCGTCCCATTTTCTGTTCGGTCCAGTTAGTCAATCCGTTAGGAAACCCACCACTGCCATCAGCGGACTTCTCTCCACTTCCAGTTACCATCTCCTTTTCCACTCCCGACATCCCTTCGGCTTGGCCCACAATGCCCGTTTTTGTTTTATTGCGCGAGCATTTTCTTTCATTAATAGCCGCGAGGCATTAAATTTTTAAATCATCAACTGGCGAAAGGAAAGCGAGAAAAAGCTGGCAAGGAGAGGAAGAAAAGCGTGGCATGGCTTGGGTCTGGGGATGGGCAGCGGTAGCACTGGAAATGGCGATTGAATGGCTTGGGTATGGGCGTGGGAGAACCAAAGAAATCCCTCGCTAATGATGTCTTGGGTACAGTCGTGTTTAATTATATACACAGTTGGGAATTCGGCACTGGCCTTGGCATTGTGTGTAGCGAAATATTGAGACCGCAGTAGATGCCTTCCGTCTTAGACAATTACTGTTAAACCTCAAAAAAATTCCTAAAAAATGTATTTCATTCGAATTTCCATTAATTCTCCCATGACTTTAACTCTTTAGTTCCAGTATCTATGTACGTTATGTTTAAGTTCCCTAGCTTGTTGCGAACTATTCAAATTGAAACTGATTTAGTCAAGACCCAATATAAACTGTGCTCAACGTTATTTGAAGTGTTCACGGCAAGACAATGGTATGGTGACCAAGTAGCCTTCCACGCTATGTCCACGAATTTCCAGGCAAAAATCAGATTGAGCTTGGATCATTCTACGTACCTAAGGATCATCATATGCAAATGTACCAACCCTCTATGACCTAGAACCGGACCGTTTTCATAAAGAGTTCCTTAGCCGATGGCAGCTGTGCATGCCTCTGGACCAGGGACCTAATGTCAGTCCGTTACCGGACACTTCATCGTCTCTGACCAAGAAGGGGTTCGGAACGCATCGCATCATCACCGAAAACTGGTTTTCTCACGCTAGGCAATGGGCAGCAGCCCAGAATCCGGTCTAGGACGCAGACACTTGTAGAGAACAAAACCCGTACGTTAGGGTTGGGTTTAGGACAAGGCCGAATCGTAAAAGGGTTGGGTCAGTTCTGTTAAAATTAGCATATATGTCCGACGACGTCCCGGAACCGGGACCCGGAGGATAATATAAACTGGTCAAACTGGTTTCACTCAGTGTGTTCT